GCATCAACTAAGTAAAACTTTCATGTTCATAAATTTGTTAATTATTATGCAATATAATCTAATTAATAAATATAATAATTTCATTCTATAAATTAGTAATACCTGGAAGTGATGCAGGAAAATTATATTTTGGTTCCATCACCGCATGTTTAAATATACGCGCATTATGTGCCAAACCCTCCCAACCAGGTGCAACAAATGTGAAACACTTGTTGAAATCACATGCATCCATCACATTTTGTGTCAGTGAATGATGACGTGTAATATAAGCGACATGTTCTTCAACAGGGATGCGTGCATCAACGTGTGTGTCATTAAAAGCACCAATGCAATCTTTAAAGTATGGCATGTATCGTGTGTCATTAATTATTCTTTTAGGAATATCATGGAAAAACTTATCTACATGTGCAATAATCTCCATTGATAATCAAACTAATGCTTGTAGATCATTATAAAAAAATATATTAATCATCTCTGTAGAGTGCTGAAAGCGTTCATATGTTGATCTAATACTCTCATTATGTCCCAAAATGTACAAAGTTATTACAAGTACCTCTCGAGTATTAGTTCTGTGATATCAATGTAAACCATATGATGTTTCCAACAAAGAAAGTAAGTCCATAAAACTAACTTGTGACATTCTGAACATGTTATGAAATCTATTTGGATGGCCATGCAACAACTCACACACCCATTTATCTCCAGTTTGAGCTGATGTCATGTAAGGACTCTTACAAACATATAATGCATAGTAATCATGAATCGAACATGTCGTTGTGAGTAATATACGAGTAAATTATGCCACTCCTTTATTCTCATTAACTTTTGACATATCATCAAGTACTTCGTCCTCCCCAAAATTTAACAAATCCTCTACCATTATTGATATGGAATAATAAAAATACTACAAATTACTAAATGATATATAATAATATAGGGATTAGTACTAATAAAAAACAAAAGAGGTCATTCAGTTGATTATGTAAAAGCAGACTACTATAGTATAAAGAGTAACCTTGCATAAAGACCAATAAAAAATATAGTAATTGATTAAAATAATGATCAAACATTACATAAAATGGAATCTCATATTATAAGAACAAACTAAGTCAGAATTACAATGAGATACTACTGATTTGAATTGACGTGATGATTTAAAATACAAAAACAAAAAGTTATAATCATGTAAATTTTTTTAGCAATTTTATGTGAATATGAACTGTTGTACTGCTTAGGATGGCGCTTCTATTACCTCAAATTAAAATACATGAATTGCATGACAAGTCCTTCTGGTTTATTTTAGCAAACTATAGTAACTTCTGTAAATTTTAATCTTATATGTTTAGAAAGAAAATCACTTTAATCGATTTAAGATAATTTTATATATAATAATGTAGGATATATTTGTAGTAAAATCCATATCTCTTTAAATAATTGTTGATGATTAATTTTTGTTGTCCTGAGGGGAAGGGCACTGCTGATTTTCTCCAAGAGATTATCTCTCGTAAGGACCAAGCACAATACTAATCTGACCATAATCGATCATACTAGTATGTTCCAATATCTGAATTTGTTCAACATTTCTGTCACTTCCATGTTGACTTATGTCTCGAGAATGAGCTATCCATTCCCTTTGACAAGAGCTGTTGCCACCGTACTGCACTTGTTTTTGAGAAGAATCATGTACCATACTCTGATCTCCTCAGTACCTCCTTTGCAAAGGAATGACTGCTCATTAAGCACAATTCCATTGTATACATCCTCAAGATTGTCCAGGTTTCTTCTAGACAACATGACTTGATTCCAAAATAGACAAATGCTTTTGAATTGGAAACTTTAACATATGTTGCATGTTGCTAATAATGCATTTTGCTTTCTTTTGAAGATCATTTTGATAGCTCTCATAGCAACAACAATGTTCTTGAGAACAAGAATACACACAGACAATATAGAAGATGAAAGTATCTACGTTGGTGCAATTCTTTTTAGTCTCATTGTCAATATGTTCAATGATTTTGCAGCCAAAGAATAAACTTGTATGTAGAAATATGATTATTAAACTTAAATATATAACATTTACTACAAAAAATCACATTTCTCAGCAAGTATTGGGCTTAGTGATCTAATTCATATGTGATGCGTTAACATTCCTATTCTCGAATGTTGTAAGCTAAGGAAGTTGGAAAGGTGCCAGTTTAATTTTTTTGAATTTATACAAGCTTGTTGTTTAAGGTGAAATTGCAGCTAAGTCTTTGACCTTGTTGTTAATAAGATAATTTTTACTATTAGTCATATCTCATGCATTTCAAGCATCATATGTTAAAGAATGAGTAATTTAGTAAGTTTATAACCACTTCTTTGATATTGTAGGTTTGTTATTTAGTAAAATAACGCACTAACAATTATTCTGGCTAATTTAAGATTGTGCTTAACTTTGCTAGAAGAGCCAAGTGACCGCTGATTGGAGAAAGTTATGCATTCCTCTTATGATATAACACAAATTTTCAAGAATCAACAAAATGTTAACAAATTAGTTACAACCTGCTGAAAGTAGAATGAAAAATTAGTAAAGTAACATAACATAATTATACATGATGAAAATACAACTTTAAAATTGGAGATCATATCTTGCTATTCATAATTGTATCCATGTATGCACTTACATTAAAATATATGATTTAATTAAATTGATTGACAGAAGTAATGTTGAGGCTGACATAACATAACATAATATATGATAGGGGCATTTATAGATAATGATAGACATATTGACATAATATATAGATAAACATACTAATATAGTATATTAATACAACATATTAGCATGACATATTCTTAGATAATTATACATGTCATATTGATGAACATATTCATATAATAGAATCAACAATAAAAAATATAATTGATAGCTTTATGTTTGTTTTACTGCACAACCCGTGTTATTGATTCATGGAGTTTTATTGATTTTCTTATAGATTGATATACTATTTTTGCTTACTGAGATTCTACTCTAGTTTTACCGATCACTTTGGTTACTACAAATGATTGACATGCTTGCACATATTGCTTAATGCTCATACGAATGGTTTATTGATTGATATTGACTTGAACTGAAGCATATATATTGATCATTTTATATTGTATTAAATGTAGTGGAAGGTTTTGATTGCTTGTTAGACTATGCTCTCATTATGTGATTTTAATTGATTTCAGGTATGGGAAAAGGTAAGGATCATCTAGAATGAGGCTAATCAATGTTCACGTTTTTATTTAATTTATGTATTTAGTTTTACTCTTTTGTAGTCAGATGCTTAAAAAAATATAGAATAATGATTAATGCAATCTTCTGGCAATTGTAAACTAAATTTTGAAGGAATGAATATATAAATATTTTGATGAATATGATTTATAGTTACTTTCGTCGTTTTTATTTATATTGATTGGATATTTAGAGACTAGCAAATTGATTAAGGGATGAAAACATATAATTCTTTCAAATTAGATATTGGGGCATTGCATTTGTCTTGTGGGACATGGCTCATCAGACATCAACATTACTTATGACAATGAACATTAATGTTGATGACGACTATGATCATTAAACATTGGTGGCAATAGCGAGTGTCGAAGTTGGTGTCAACTATAGGCGTCGATATTAATGTCGATGGCAAGCTTCTAAATTGGCGTCGATGATGTGACAAAAACCTAAGTTAGTGTCAATTGCGTGTATTAGCCTTATTAGTAAAGACAATCATTGATGGTTATAAATGGAGTTTCGAACTCTCTCACATAAAATCCTTCTTGTAGCCTTATTCCAACCTCCATAATCTTTAAAAACTCGGTTAATTTTATATATTTTTTGTGAGAGTCATTATCACAATTTAGACTATAAATGAGAACACTTAATTGAATTTTAGATGTTAATCCCCTTGACAAACAATAATATTTAGACTTCTCATTGTCTTAATAAAGCCATAATGGAATGGCCATATAATCATTTAATTCCTCTATGCCGAGATGCTCGAGCTCAGAACAGAAGATTCAAAGATCATTTAATCCAACAAATAATATCGTTAAGTTTTCATCCATACTTTTTGGTTAATTCAAAATCAGATCACAATATTTTTGGCATACTTGAGCGTATTTCATCCCAAGTTCCCAACATTTATTTCAATTATAAAATTATTAAAATAAAGTTCTATGATATCAAAATTGATTTTAAAAATTTATAATTAAAAAATTTACATTAAGATTTATGCTTGATAAAAGTATTATATTGTTATAAAATTCATAATTTTAATTTAAGAAACACACACCCTAACCATTTAAGAAAAAAAATAAAATATATCAATTATTAAGACAATCTCCAACCGAACTCCAAACCACCATATGCCATCCCTTATTTACTCCATTCAAATTCTAAATCACACACCAAATTCCGGTAGGAGAACAGTGTGATGCCAATATTGACGTTTGACTGTTCACATATGAAAAAAAAATTCGCTACGAGATTTACCGAAGAAGCGCGGGAAAGAGGAGAAAAGCGCTCCAAAGATGATTACCTTCACAGGAAGCGAACAAAAGAAAAAGAAATCCTTATATATATAATTAGAAATAAATAAATTTGATTGTAAAATATAAATCAAACAGAATTATAATTATCACCAACAAAGCAAAACTTTTGCAAAACCTACCCCAAACGAATATTGAATGCCTCAAATCGTCCTCTCCACTTTTTTTTTTTTTTTTTCTTTTTAGTTTGTACTAATACAGGCCCTAAGACGAGAGAAGGGGACTGTCCAGCCGGACATCGGAAAGCAGACCATCAAGCCAAACGATCCAGCTTCATTGTGCATGGCAGCAGGATCCGACTTAGCTTTTGCACCCACGGCCACCACCCACGCAGTCATATAATGCCACGTGGCACATATATTCAATCGCACCCACGCGCCGCCCGGTTTCTCGTCGTTTCAACGTTTCGGTGTTTGGTGGACAGGAGAGAACAGGGGATCTATCAGGAGGTACTCACTGTCCTTCAGCCGCAGCCTCCCACTGCGTAGTGCGCACTGTATTGCTGCGCTCTGCGGCGAAGGTCAGCGAATTAATGGATCCGTCGCGGCGCAGAGGCGTTCCGCTCCGGGCTTTTTAATGCCGCCTGCCCCGACCCTCAACCGCCGCTTTTATGACCATTTCCATCGTCTTCTGCACTCCCAGATCTGCTAGCCGATCGCTGATCCGACGGCATTCCCGGCGATCACCGTCGATCGGCTGTTCCTGCAGCGGAGCTTGCTGAGGGGTAGAGTTGGGGTTCTGTGAGTGCAGCAGTGTGGGAGGAGTGGGAGACTTTTGATATCTGATCTGCTATTTTGGTCATTTGTTCTATACTTTTTATTGCGTTTTGTAGTTTTGCTGCTTTCTGTTTTTCGTACGATGAATCCGCTTTGCTGCATTGCGCCGGTGTCTCTGGAGCGCGGGGATCGCGGGAGTGCGCCGGTTGCGTCGTTGAAGGCGAATGCGAAACCGGCGGCGGGGTTAGAGAATCCTGCGAGGAACTCGTCGAGCAAGCAGCTTACGCCCGCGCAAATGTCGGCGGTGGCGGGGAATCTGGAGTTGGGAGCTAGCTGCGAAGCGGAGGACGGGCCTAGCCGCCCGGCGGAGGGAAGAGAGGGGAAGAGCGGCGGCGCTGTCAGTGGAAAGGTGGCGGGGATTTTGTACAAGTGGGTGAACTACGGGAAAGGGTGGAGATCGCGGTGGTTCGTGCTGCAGGATGGGGTTTTGTCGTACTATAAGGTGCATGGGCCGGACAAGATCTCTGTGGGGTCGGCGTCATGCGAGGCAAGCGGTGTGCGGGTGATCGGCGAAGAATCACTACGGAGAGTGAAGAGGGAGCAACGGGCTGGGGAAGTGATGGGACAAGCGGATATGAAGCAGTGGAAGCCGTTTGGGGAGATTCATTTGAAGGTTCGACTGTCGGAAACATGAGCTTTTTTTTTTTATAAATCCTGTTCTTCTGTACAGTTCTTAGCTTAAATATATTCTTCCATGCACTATTCTTCTCTATACACATGAATTTCTATTGAGCAGATCCACCTTTTTTTCTCAGAGCAAGAGTATTTGCACACACATACTTTGAAAATGGAAAGCAGGAGATTGCATCAGCTTCTGTGGATAATATCACTTTCCCATATTCCTGGTTATTTTGTCTTTTAGCCGAGGTTGACGGTTAATCCAGTAGTTTTATATGTTTATCACATAAATATATCAACGGATATGTTTTTTTTTTCTTTTTTTTTTAATGTGGTTTGGGCGACTGCTACTGTCATTCTCTTAGCTCTCTGTGGACGAATTGGTGAATTTGATGATTCAGTGAAGTTTCCTCTTGACTTGGTAATGTCTGCCAATAGAATATCTGTAAGAAGTCGAATTAAATATAATCTTCATGCGAAACTTCTGAAGCAGCAGAGCTGGCCATGAAACTAATATGCATATATATATATATACGGTTTTGATGAAGGTTGACTTTTTAAATTCTTTCTTTCTTTTCAATATTTGTTTTACTCTTTAAGTATCTTGAAGAGATTTTCTTTTCTCTTCAAAATGTGTGTGGGCACAAATACTTGTATGATAGAATCCTTACAATGAATAACTTGACTACGTTGAGGCAATCTTGCTATGCCTAACTTTTAAGGTTATATACATGGCATATGTTAATGCATAAGAAATTGAGTTCTATCTATCTATCAATGACTTTCACAATGAGGTGTCCGAATTTCAATCTGGTTTCATGTTATAAAGAAAAAGAAGAAGAAAAACAGATAATTTGTTTTTAATAACATCTTCTACGAGTAATTTTAGGCATCTCAAAGCTCTCTGAATTGACTTGTGTGCAGTGAACATGACTTTCAGGTTTCTTCGATTCGTTCAAGCAAGTCAGATGATAAAAGGCTGTCTATTTTCACTGGTACAAAGACCCTCCATTTGCGTTGCGATTCAAGGGAGGATCGTAGTTTGTGGATTGAAGCTCTGCTTTTAGCTAAAGATCTGTTTCCTCGTTTTCCAACAAGCAATGACTTGGAAACCGCTGTAGATGTTACGGTTTCTACGGAGAAACTGCGAACTCGATTATTGGAGGAAGGTTTGGATGAAATAGTAATAAAAGAGTGTGAGTCTATCGTGCTATGTGAAACATCTGTGCTACTGAATCAGTTGAGGTGTCTTCAGCAAAAACATATTGTCTTGCTTGATGCACTAAGACAGTTGGAGGTATATTTTGTTTTTTAAATCACACTAGAGGCCTTTTAATGCAGCATGTAGCTAAAATAACCAAGGAATATTGCACCATGAGGGTTTTTATAAAAACATCATTTCCTAAATAAGAGGACATTTAGTGAATGTAGTTTAGATTGCTAGATTCAATGGCAGTCAGTATCACAAATACACTTAGAATTATACATTTTCTGCTACAAGTAACTTACACTTCTCCTTTGTTTCACTTCAAGAATCTTATATTGTATTGCTGTAGCTTTGTAAAAATTCCTAACACCAGTTCACTCTGAACTACTTCAATTTTTTTTTTTCTTTTTGACCTATAAATTAATCTTTAGCTTGTTTATCACTAATGAAAAATCCCTCAAACTGTCAGCTTTCAATGTAATAGGTTATAGTTGGATGCCTGTCTAAAGTTACAGCCTTTGGAATATAATTTATCCTGTGCCTGAATCGGGAGCTAAATTTCCAAAGTTTGTCCTCTTGAGTTTCCTGAATGTTTTTGAAAACTTTCTACAATAAAGCAGATGTAGGTCTTTGGTGATTAAGCAAATTTAGAAAAAAAACTAATGTACTATGAAATATTTGTTATAATAAGGTTATAAATCCATTTGGCAGCCCCACATCAAAGATCCCATGCTGTTTTAGTTTGAAGGATTTCATTTATTAAACTCCATAGCCTATAAAAGTTACATGAGCTAACTTGCTATCATGTAAGCTTTCATTGTACTCTTTGTCATTGGCAGCCAATCAGAAACATGCTAAAGTTAGATAATACCCTGCAAGTTTTACTACATGCTTTCCTTCTGATACCTTGGCAAACAAGTCCAAAATACCTCACCATACTTGCGGAGTTGTGTGACCTTTTACAAATAACCTTCCCTCTCTTTGCTTAGGCTATTGTGATATTGAGAAGGCATTTGAAATCTAAGTTGCATGAAGGCTTTTCTGCAATGTATGCATGGAAGTGTTGTTATGAAATCTAATGTTCACAAAATTTGGCTTGTCTATCTTGATTGTTCTTTACCATGCCTAAATTTATGGGAAATACTTAAAATATTTCTGTTAGTTGATTGCAGTTTCATTTTTTGTTTCACCATGTTGATAGTAAAGCCCCATCTGCCTATGTTTCATTCTCTCCATCTTCAATGAACATTGTGCTAACAATCTACACCATGCAACTGCTGCTTATTTGCTTTCCTCACTATTGATATCATCTGCTTGAGAATTTAAGAGATAATTAGACTGTATCATTGTACTGTAGACAGAAAAGTTAGAGCTGGAGACTACTGTAGTAGACGAGACAAAAGAACGGGAGGCAAACCTTGGGCAGGGGAATGGAAGATTTAGCGGTAAGTATTGCTTTTGCAAAATATGCTTTTATTCAGCACTTTCATGCAACTATACAGAATGTTGATTCATGTTATACACAGTTTTGAATTCACTGGTGTGCATTAAGCTCCTTAACATTACTACGTTAACAAATAATTTGCTTAAAATTTTTGATGGGATCATTAACTCTATTACATTTGGTTTTCCTATAATATTGAGTATTTTATTTAATTTGATAAGTTCTTTTTTAGTATGGATACCTAAATTGTAACTTGTCTTTTTTATGTGCCAAAATGTATATTTTAGAACTTAACAGCGGCAAAATTGCAGACAAAAAGCTAAAAAGTGTTTTGTAAGTTGTTCTTTAGGAATGTAATTTTTTTGCTTGTTAATGATCCTTGCAAAAGGGCACTGTATTGATATAGAAAAAATGATGAGCAATTATTGTGGTTTCTAGCTATCATCTTGTTATCCCTAGATCTCACTTATATTACTTTGCTACCCATGATCTGAAGGAAACCTGTCCACATCTCCCAAAGAACTTCTAATCTTGAGAAAGAGTTGTTCATTATAATAATTTATGAAAATATTTTATGTGAAGGACAATGCAGGCGCCTGCTTGTGAAAACAATGAATTAAGAGCTGGTATTGGAAAGAAGATGGATAGGAATGGTGATGGAAATCTGAAAGTTTATACTCATTAGAAAAACAAGATGTGATCTTCAAGATGAATATTATGATGTTTTGAGTTTTTTTTGTGTTGTTCTAGTTGGCTTACTTCCTCTTTGCTGTTTTTTTTTTTTTTTGAACGTCACATTGCCGATGATGCTGTTGTTGTGATAATGGGATGTGTTAAATACTGTTCTGATTATCTTTTTTTGTTTGTTTTACTATTGTAAGTTTCTTTGATTCGACTTAATGGATTCCCTAGTTCTGCTAACTTCTGGTCCCATATTGCAGCATCTTGAATTCCTCTATTTTGCTTCAGGAATGTGATTGCTTTCACTATATAGGTGTTCAGAGAAGTGCTATAATAATTTTTCTTTGGTTTTGTGCTTGGGTGATTATTGTTTTGTCTAAGGAGCCAATGATGGTGCTATTGGATCCTCTTTTATCTTTTTTACTCGACTATTGCTTGGTGCTTCATGTGCTGCACGTGTATGCCTGCCTTATGTGTTGATTGCTCTGGCCTTCCTTATGTGTTGTTTTTTGTCTTGATTGCCTATGGGCTTTGTTACACATTATTTATTTATTTTTGTGACAATGCTAGTACCTTGATCTCGTGTATTGAACAATATTGAACTTGAAAAGCTAAGGATTGGCATTATAACAAAACCAAGAATCTATTTTTGAATAAATATTTGTAGTTTTGACCAGGTCTTTGAGGATTTGAGAAACTACCAAATTTGGGTCATTTTGGGTTACAAATCATGCATTATGATATGAATTATTGAATAGATGATGTAGGACTAAGTGAAATAAGTCATGCAAATAGAAATTTATGCTAAGAGAGCATCAAAGGCAACATTATAAATTTCATAAAACATTAAGAACAATAAGAAAATTTGAATTATTAGATAATGTGATAGTAAGAAACTAACAAGCAAAGGCTAAAGCCGCTAAACAATAACAAAGGTAAATCAGTTTAGACTAGCTTATATGGGTTGACATAGGTTCAACATTTAATTAAGGGACTAATCACTAGAGTTTCTGTTCACTCAAATTTAAGTAGAACTTGGCGTATTAATCAACACATATGAGATGATGCTACTATAGATGAAATGAGAAGGTCAATATTTAGTTAGATGTAGACAAGGGGAGTGTTTGATAATTAGCTCATGAATGGGAGGAATGGAGTTTTTGATGAAGTGACGACTAGTTCATCTATGGCTTTCCCGTGAAACCCATGCTCTTTGTTGAATCAATGTCCTTGTTGCATTAGTAGAAGCTAAGTTTCCTTGGAGAGGTAGAATAGTGAGGAGGGAAAAGAAAGTTTCAGTTATATGAGGATTTGGAAATGGAGAGCTCACGGTTTTGGGATTTGGAGGGGTGAACTAGGCCAGCTGCAGGGGGAGGAGGGGAGAGAGATGATTTGGCTGATTTAATGGCTTGGAAAGGGAGAATTTAGCTTGAGAAGTGAAGAGGTGAGGGTTGGCTACTTGTGGAAGAGAAATGACTGATGTGGTTTGCTTAGGAATGGAATTAGTTGGCTTAAAAAAGGAAAAAGTCATCTTGGGAGGTGAATAGGTAGGTCTGGTGGCGTGGGGAAGAGAGAGGGCTGATGTGGCTTGCTTGGGAAGTAAGTAGTTGGCTTGGGAAAGGAAAAAATCAGCTTGGGGTGAAGAGGTGGGGTTGTGATGTAGGACTACAATGCTTGCAATGATTTGATTAAGAGATTTCACAACTTATAGATTAGAGAAATAACGAATATAACTATTAGCAAATAAAATGATGATTCAAAACATAAGAGCGGTCACTTTCGTTTAGGCTAAATTACATGTCAAAAGGTTTGAATCATCAAAATAATGTAGGAAAAGAACATCATGCAACGTAGCATCTTTCAACGGAAATCCTTAATCTAACAATGAGATTTAAAAAATAAAAAAATACACTCAATTCTCTACGTTTATTAAGCTTAGCAGAATCGGGTAGAAGCGGCCTTCGTGACTACAATCAAATCACAAAGAAAGGATTATACTTTAAGAAATACGAGAAGAGGAAGATTAGAGAACCTTCGTCAAGGACCGGGTGCGATCCTCCACCTGACATTCTTAAGTTGCTCTTCAATAGCTTTGACCAAGGTGTCCAAGATGCGTTCTATATAGTCCTCAACCGTATTGTCGATTCTCGGGTTGACGTCGAAGAAGGTTGAGTGAAGAATGTGCACAAAGCCGTGTTCGTCATAGGAAATTATGTAGTCAGTAGAGGGAAGGAGAAAAAAGAGTTAGAGAGGGAAGATGATACCAACCAAGAGCTCACACGCTATTGGGTATTTCTTTACCTTTATCCAAAAGACTTCACTCAGAAACTCAACTCACCAAGATAAGCGAAAGCATATAACTAGAAATTTATATCAAAATATTCATCATCCATACAAGAGAATAATGGGCCATATATATAGGCATAAAAACATGAGAAGACAAAAGACAAGAAGGCTCTTGACAAAACAACACAAAAGCTCCCTCAAGTGAGGGTAAAACTGAAATAATATAAATAGCACTGATAGGAAATACTTGATTTCAAGTATTTCCTAATCACTTTGGCAACAAATCTCAAAGCAAACTGCTGTTCACAGCAGGAAAACATCCACAAACAGTAGAAAAACAGGGAAAAACTGAGGGAAACGTGGAGAAAAGTCTTGTATTTTACTAGTAGATGCAAGGAAAATAGCAAAGATACAAGGATCCTCTATTCGAGAGGAGGATCGCACTCTCACAATCTCTAGAATTCGATCTAGAGCCCTAGCCCACAAAGAAGAATAAGAAAACTTCCAAGCAAAAACCACCTAACCCTAATCTCTCCTTTTCCTCCTACTTAATGCATACAATTCAAAAATAACATAAAGGGACCTAATTGCTCTTGCTTCCACTCCTTTTGGCTCCAAGAAACCAATTCAAAAACAAGTGGACCCCACCCGAATTGCTCTTCACGGTTCCGCCGGCTTCCCCTCTGTTTTCGCTCGAGTTGTCCATCGCCTGTAGAAGAAACGAGCCGACCCAAAGGATTGGGCCTGCTGGACTGGTCAATAGAGGACCGGTCTAACGTTACCGCCATCCCAAAGAGAACCACCTTGTCCTCAAGGTGGAAGTCAGGAAACTGTCGCTTCATCCGCTCATATGGCTCCCACGTGGCCTCGTAGTCAGGGAGGTTCTTCATTTGATCAGGACTTCTGTGGCTCCATCTGCTTTATGACGAACCTCCATGAGCTCCAAAGGTTTCAATATCATTTCCATTTCATCTGTTAATGTTCCTGGTAACTCAGAACTGGTAGCATAATCTCCAATGGCTCTCCTTAGTTGGGATACATGGAAACCGGATGGATCGTCGCTGTCGGTGGTAGCTTCAGACGATATGCCACGGCTCCAATTTTCTCCAGTACTTCATATGGACCGAAGTACCTTGGAGCAAGCTTCTCATTCCTCCGGTTGGCGACTATTTTCTGTCGATATGGACGGAGTTTCAAAAACACCTTCTCGCCCACCTCAAACTGAATATCCTTCCGATGCCCATCAGCTCGTTTCTTCATAATCTGTTGAGCCCTCAACAGGTGTCTTTTTAACTCTTCCAGTGTCTTATCTATCTCCTCCAAATACTCCTCTACTGAAGAAACGGGTGTGCTGCTACTCCCAAAATGCACCAAGTGGGGTGGATCCCATCCGTACAACACCTTAAATGGGGTCATCTGAGATGCTGAGTGAAACGAGGTGTTGTACCAGTACTCGGCCCATGATAGCCATTTAGCCCATAGCTTGGGTGTTTCTGATGCGAAGCCATCTCAAATAAATTTTCAAGCTCCGGTTGACTACTTATGTTTGACCATCTGTCTGTGGGTGATAAGCCGTACTCCTTTTCAGCACCGTCCCCTGCAGTCTGAACAATTCTTTTCAGAAATGGCTGAGAAACACTTTATCCCTGTCTGATACTATCGCCTCTGGTACTCCGTGTAGTCTGACTATCTCCCTGATGAAGACTGTCGCTACTGTCACCGCAGTGTAAGGGTAGCGTAGAGGAATAAAGTGAGCATATTTGCTCAGTCTATCCACTACTACCAAAATCACAGTGAATCTCTCAGAGCGGGGTAGCCCATCAATGAAGTCCATAGATATCTCCTCCCAGACTCGTCCTGGTAACGCCAAAGGCTGCAGTAACCCACCTGGTGACATCGCTAGATACTTATTCCTTTGGCACACCTTGCATCTGGATACCATCTCTTCCACATCTCTGTGCATACCTTTCCAGTACAGCTCTGCTGCTAGTCTCCTATAGGTCTTTAGCACTCCTGAATGACCTGCAACTGCCG